AGTACAGTAGTGCATTTTCCATATGAGAGTGAAAAGTACATTTCCAAACATAGAGGATGGATTTGCGCAGTGAAGGAGTTCTGAATAACTGCAAACCTTTCTGTTCGTATGTTCTTTCTCCTCATTTTTTTACAAAATTAATTATGGACTCATAGATTTGGCTATCTAAAAATGTTCACAATATTCTCATTGTTTTGGGGAGAACAGTTATATGCTTTCTCTGCATCTCAACCATACAAAGTTAAATACAAAACCCTACAGCCAACTGAGACAAGATATGTAAAATTAAATTAACATACAATTAAATTTTTTAAAAGCATTATAAAATATATAACAATATAAACCACAGTTAACCCAGTTACAATAGAAAGGCCTTTTCCATATCTGATCCACTAACACAATCTTACTATAATAGCAATGTTATTCTCAGAAAGAGAAGCCTAATTAGATTTAACTCTATCTAAGTAAATATGAAATGGGTGCCAACTCTGTGTCTCTAATTCCCATGGCACATTGATTTAATTAAATGTTTATACTCTTATTAATTATTGTGTAAATCTTGGTGGGAGGGTTTTTGGAGGGGGAGCTTAGTCATTTAATCTGCATTCATTTTATTGGAATACTTTTTTACATTACTACTGTATAAATTAAAGCTGAAGTTTTTGAAGGAACCTAAGGGGCTTAGGCACACAAATCCAATTCAATTTCAATCCTAAATCGATTAGGCTCCTTTGAAAATCCCAGCCTGTATGTAGTCTGATACGTAGGGCTTGTCTGTACATGTAATTGTTCCTGATTGAACTCAATGTGTGGACAATCTTTTTTCACAGTAAAGTGCCTTGTTCCTGTTTAGCTTAATGCACAAACAAGGCAGTCTTATTCTGGAATAAGTGGGTCCATACGTGGAGTTAATCATGAACATCTCCATGTGTAAACAGGCCCTTAGAAGATCAGGGACCATCCTGTAATGATATGTTTATACTGTAGTCTAGCACAATGGGGCTTGGACTGCTAGGCACTACATCCGTACAACTGCTATTACTAGGTAACTTAGGACAACATCATTCTTCACATACTGGCTGTTGTCTCTGTTAGTCACCTTTTGGTTGGGTTTACATTCTTCTGGACAATAAAATAGGGGCAGCAGACAACTGTAGGGAAAACTTTGAGTTAGTATGGGAGAGTTTTGTGCTGATTCTAGCTGATTCTGATTGTTTGTTACTTGGTGTAGGGAGGCAGAATGGCCTCGTCTAACCTCGCTCTGCCCCCTCTGGAGGAAGTGCAGGGGCAGAGCAGGAAGTATAAGAACAGGGCCCTGCAGTAGGGTTGCCAGGCATCTGATTTTTGACCAGAACACCCAGTTTAAAAAGGACCCTCGCAGCTCCAGTCAGCACCGCTGACTGGACTGTTAAAAGTTCGGTGGTGGCACAGCGGGGCTAAGGCAGGCTCCCTGCCTGCCTTGGTTCTGTGCAGCTCCTGGACCGGGAGCCTCCTGAGGTAAGGGCCACCAGGCTGGAGCCCACACCCTGAACATCCTCCTGAACCTCAACCCCCTCCCACACCCTAACTTCCTCCCAGACCCCGCCTTCCGACCTGCACTCCAACCCCCTGCCCCAGTCCTGAGCCCCTTCCCGCACCCAAACTCCCTCCCAGAGCCTGCACCCTGAATCCCCTCCCGCACTCCTCATTCCTGGCCCCAGCCCTGAGCCTGCTCCCACACTCCAAACCCCTTGGCCCCAGCCTGGAGCCCCCTCCTGCACCTCAAGCCCCTCATCCCCAGCCCCACCCCAGAGCCCACAGGCCCAGCTGGAGCCCACCCCCCCCACCCCAACGCCTTGTCCCAGCCCAGATCTCCCTCCCCCACGCTGAACACCTCATTTCTGGCCCTACCCCAGAGCTCGCACCCCCAGCTGGAGCCCTCACCCCCTCCCACACTCCAACCCTCTGTCCTAGCTGAGTGAAAGTGAGTGAGAGTGGGGGAAAGCAAGCGACTGAGGGAGGTGGGCTGGAGTGAGTGGGGACGGGGCCTCAGAGAAGGGGCAGGACCTCAGGGCAGGGACGGGGCAAGGGGTGGGGCAAGGATGTTCAGTTTTGTGCAGTTAGAAAGTTGGCAACCCTACCCTGCGGTGCAGCCCAGATAGGGCCGGACAAGGGAAGGAGATGGATGTCCTTCCAAGGGAGCTGATCCCTCAGCCGAGCCCGTGACTGGGAGCAGAAAAGAAAGGCAAACCACTGCCTCAGGAGACGGAAGGCCCCGGGGGGAGACTAGAGGAAGGACCACCTGATCGTGACACTGAGGGCCAGGTCCCAGTGGTGACGGAGTACTGCCAGCAGGATCCAGTAGAAATTAGCCCAGGGAAAAGAGATTTTGTTCAGGGTGTGCTGCCAGGCAGCGAGGCAGCTATCACATATTTCCCTGCTGATCCTGGCTGGGATTGCCTGCCATGTCTAGGGCCCTGGGCTGGGACCTGGTGGAACAGGGTGGGCCCGGATCCTCCTCCCCCCAGCCTCGTACAGGGTCTGGTTGCACTCTAATCTTTAGGCCAGAAGGCCGGCAATATATACTGTTTAATTGCTCAGCCTGCATTCAGAGGGCCTGAGCCATAGAGTATTGTTGTTCACCCCACACCAGGAGGCCTGAACTACCAGCCAGCTGGTGGTTTGCTTAATCCTCCTTCAGAGGTTTGAACTGCTATTTGGGCAATTGTGCAGCTGCAGTCCAGGCTGCCTGACAAAACTGCTGGTGGTCGTACTGACTCCTCACCACTGCCGGAGGAGGCACCCTGGCCCTGAGAGATAGGAAGGCTACACTTGGGCTACAAGAACATTGAAAGGCTCCAAACAAGATTGGGACCCCTTTGTGCTAGGTGCTGTACAAACAGTTAGTAAGCTTTCCTGGTCCAAGGAGCTTACTGTGAAGGACGCGGGGCTGCTCTGCAATAATTTATGAATTATTGACTTTCTTGGCTGCAGCCAAGTTACACAGATTACTTACCAAGGCTGGGACCCAAAAGATCAAAGGACAATAAAAATTTAAGACTCTCTGCCCAGAGACGAAGTGAGGGAAAAAGGCCTAAGACCTGTGGGCAGCACTCAGAGAGACCAGAGAAGGGGTCTGAGGTGCAGGTGGCTTGGCAACTGTGGCACTTAGAATCTAAATAGATGATATAACAGACAAAGGATGGGAGGGGAAACAGAGGCACAGAGTTGAAGTTACTTGCTTAAGGTCACAGTGCAGGTCAGTGGCAGAGCACGGAACAGGATTCAGGTCTCCTGAATTCCAGTCCCATGCCTATCCCACTGGACCATGCTGCCTCTGATTTTCTTTCTTTCCTTTTGGATCACATTGTTCTGGTCACTCATAATTAGTTGCTTAAACAACTGTGATGTTACTATCTCTTTAATGCAGCATAAACAGGTGCACTCAGGGCCAATAAAAATAAGCACAGAAAACAGCAGCTAGGGACTAAAGGAAAACAGCAGGTAAAGAGTAGAAGATCTTGTGGCTAAAGCACAGGGGTGTGTCAGAAGATCTGGATTCTATTCTTGGCTCAGCAAAAAAGTTGATGTATGATTTCAGGGCCTGACTCACCATTGTGACAGGTTTCAGAGTAACAGCCGTGTTAGTCTGTATTCGCAAAAAGAAAAGGAGTACTTGTAGCACCTTAGAGACTAACCAATTTATTTGAGCATGAGCTTTCGTGAGCTACAGTTCACTTCATCAGATGTATACCGTGGAAACTCACCATTGTGTTACTCCAGTTTGACACTAGTATAAATCCACTGGGCTCAATTCACCATTGCTCTGTGCCTTATGTAGTCATTTATACTAGTTGCAGAGTGGGCGTAAAATGCTACCGAATCAGAATGGTTGACGGACACAGTCGACTTTATGTACTTGATCCAGGCAGCTGTGGTTGGCATTGCAGGGTAAATGTAACAATCCACAGACTCCGCAGTGGTCGCAGAGAGTGCTTGGTGGGGCTGCAGTGTGTTTTGTGCACCTAAAACAGGAGGCCTAGTATGGATGATCTGATCGTTACAGCCTGCAGCAGTTCAAGCACACGGTTATTAGCTGCACCAGTGCAATTCTATAGTGTGGACCAATTTTCATTAATAGCTCCCAGTACTTGCAGTACTTCCTGGTCGTCTTTATCTTACCTTATAACTCTGTTTATAACAAGGCAATCCCCCTAATATCTCGGTGTGGAATATGTGCAACTCACATGGACCCAACTCTCCATTCCTCCTTTGATTTATCCTCTGTCCCAATGGGGCTCATTCTTAGTGGCTCTCTTCAGGAGATCCTTGGCTGTGGCATTCTTCACTTCTACTACTGGGGGAAATCCTGCCCAAAGAGAGACTGTGATATCCCTTAACCTCCCAACCAACCTCTCCCGTACCCCACAGATACTTCTCCTTTAGTTAACAATTGTTTTACATAGCACATCTGAACTGCATTGTCCAGCTGAATTTGCAGTTGGGAACCAGGTGATTCTCACGCATCCCCATCAGCTGGGGAGGGAAAGAGATGAGGTTGATTGCAGAAATGCTGACATGGGTAAGCAATATGAGCCTAGGGCTCCAAATGTGATCTTGCTGCCCTTTACTCAGCTGAAAACAGTGCTTCAGTTGGTAGAAAACTGTCATCCACTGAACTGTAAAGTTCAGGTCAGCACTGTGGCAAGGTTACAATAAACCAGGTGTCAGCAGGGTTCCTCAGAAAGCTGCTGGTGGTCTGAGCTCTTGGAATGAATCCAAGGGTTGTGTCCGTGATGAAGCTGTGAGCATGGTTATTAAAAAAGCTGGTAGGAGTAGTGCAAGTGCTGCTTCTCGCTTGCCCTCAAGAGCCATTAAAGGAAGCACAGACATCTCCCATTACTGTTAAAACAAAAATCAAGCACCCGGGTGGGCATAAAACCCCCCAGAGATGTTGGCAGCTGAACAAGGCTATGAATAATTCATCCCTCAGATGCCTCCTGTGTGTTCCATCCATTTAGGCTGCTCAGAGTTCTAGCCACTGAATATGCGGACAGATCTACTTCCAAAGCTACAGGGACGAAACCCTACAGACTGTGATTGCCGCTTCTGTGAGCTTGTCCTCCAGGAAGCTGTTGCAATGTTGCAGTGACGTTTCCCAGGCCAAGAAAGTGATTCTGTGACCTTTGCTCATCCTGCAAGCCATGCTGTTTTTTGAAGCAGTGTCGCTCAGCAAAATTGGGACTAGCCGTTTTCTGGGTGAGTAAATGAGCTGGGGCTGAGCTGGGAAGTAGTAGTCTGATGTTTTCTACAAGAAGGTGTGTGATGGGCTAGTTGGGCAGTGGCTCTTTGCTTTGGGAATTTGCACCTTGAACACTAGTTTATGTGCCAAGCAGTCTCTTGTGAGTCCATGTTTGAAAACAGTCTAGGTGTCCCCTGCTGAAAGTTCCCGAGACACGAGTAAGGATTTTTCCCAGCCCAAACTGTCTCAATGGAAGAGAAGATGTTAAATGGCTGTGCCACAGCCTATGTGAAGTGAGATAGTTGTTTCAGCTCATTTGCTAGTGAGTGGTTGTAAGCATCATGCTTGGCCACCTTGTTGGCAGCCTAAGCAGGGAGGCTGAAGATTCACTCGACTACAGAGTCTGATTTCCCCTCCCACTCCCACAGAAGTTCCTCTTCGATCAGGAGTGAGTTTTTTTGCCAGGGCAGAATGAGGGAAGGCTGCACTGAAGAGAAAAAAGGGCTTTGCTTTCCAGGGCTGTCAACCTGGTACCTGTTCCTCAGCACAGAATTCACATATTAGGCTGCAGAAACCTTTCTTATAATTTACCCCTTCCCTGCTGGTTTATGTTAAAAACCTCTCCAATCATTCTATTCATCGTCGTCATCATCATCATCCTGTTCCCATTTATGGCTTTGACGTTTAGGGCAGCGACGAAAGCACTCTATTAGCTCTGGTCAAAGGATGCTGCCAGTTAGGTTCATCAGAATTCCCCCATCTCTCCTCCACATCCCCCGGAATTCCTGTTGACCCAGAAGGCTTTTTCCCAGCTTGCAGACTCTCAGCTGGCTTTCCCTCACTGTAATCACAGCAGCTACAGAGATGACTGACTGCTTAGGGCAAGAATTTAACCCTTTGCATGTCATGCTTTTTGAGATATCTGTCATCTTAAGGACATTTCAACTGACCTGCCTTCCAGAGCTGCCTTCCCCCAAGAAAAGCTTGGGGAGGGGGAAAGGTGGGATGACAAACTGGTAAAGAGAAGACCACCTCTTAGCTGAAAAATATTTCATGATTTCGATTTGAGCCAGCTGATAGGACGTGTATTCTGGACTTGCCTTGCTCCTCAAGCTAATGAAGGTAATATTCTGGCTTTCTGGGTGGAAGGACTGCAAGTGTTTTCTGGTTTTTCTGTGTAGGCAAGGACAGGAGCCTCCAAAATGGGCATCTGATGGCACGGGAAAAGAGGGATTATTGATGGTACAGCGGGAGAGAGGGCTGGAAGGATTCATAAAAAGGGCTGGGGGGACCGGGCGCCAAATTGAAATGGCAGGTGCTTGTGGGTGTCAGGTAGTCTGGAAAGAGGTGAGAAGGAGTGCCATGGAAGAATACAAAAACAACGAGGCGTCCTTGTGGCACCTTAGAGACTAACAAATTTATTTGGGCATAAGCTTTCGTGGGCTAGAACCCACTTCATCAGATGCATGGAGTAAAAAATACAGTAAGCAGGTATAAATATACAGCACATGAAAAGATGGGCGGGTCAGTGCTAACTAGGCCAATTCAGTTAGGGTGGATGTGGCTTATTCCCAAGAGTTGACAAGAACGCCACCAGCCATACCCTACAGCCCTCAACTAAAACCTTTCCAGTGCATCATCAAGGATCTACAGCCTATCCTGAAGGACAATCCCTCACTCTCAGAGACCTTGGGAGGCAGGCCAGTCCTCACTTACAGACAGCGCCCCCCAACCTGAAGCAAATACTCACCAGCAACTACACACCACACAACAGAAACACTAACCCAGGAACCAATCCCTGCAACAAACCCTGCTGCCAACTCTGTCCGCATATCTATTCAAGGGACACCATCATAGTACCTAACCACATCAGCCACACCATCAGGGGCTTGTTCATCTGCATATCTACCAATGTGATGTATACCATCATGTGCCTGCAATGTCCCTCTGCCATATACATTGGCCAAACAGGACAGTCTCAACGCAAAAGAATAAATGGACACAAATCAGACATCAAGAATTGTAACATTCAAAAACCAGTAGGAGAGCACTTCAGTCTCCCTGGACACTGAATAATAGACTTAAAGTGGCCATTCTTCAACAAAAAAACCTTCAAAAACGACTTCAACGAGAAACTGCAGAACTGGAATTAATTTGCAAAGTTGACACCATCAAATTAGGCCTAAATAAAGACTGGGAGTGGATGGGTCACTACAAAAAATAATTTTCCCTCTGTTAATACCCCTTCTTGTTAACTGTTGGGAATGGGCCACATCCACCCTGATTGAATTGGCTTCGTTAGCACTGACTACCCACTTGGTAAGACAACTCCCATCTTTTCATGTGCTGTATATTTATATCTACTTACTGTATTTTTCACTCCATGCATCTGATGAAGTGGGTTCTAGCCCATGAACGCTTATGCCCAGATAAATGTGTTAGTCTCTAAGGTGCCACAAGGACTCCTCATTGTTTTTGCTGATACAGACTAACACAACTACCCCTCTGAAACATGGAAGAATACATTACTTATTAGGAGAAGAAATACACAGACAAAGCAAGCCGGGTTTTTCATTTGTGTCTGGGTGGTTTCTATAGCAATGTAGCTGTGGAGCCCTTTGTGCTGCTGGTCTTGAGCCTCACGGCAGTTCCACTTAATGGTTTATAAGTGCTCAACTCTCATACCAAGGGAAATGTATCCAACTCAGAAGTGGGATGGAAATCCCAAGACAGGCAACTGTGGATACTTATGTTTATTGTGTTTGCTGTGTCCCCTGAACAAACTTTAACACCAGAATGTTGGAAACCATCGCTCCTTTGCTTCCAAGTGTGAGGCACTGAAACTTCACATGGATTTTGGGATAATACAGTAGCTTCGGCAGCAGCAATGATATTATAAGCACAAGGTTCTGATGACCCATATCCCTTGCTCTCACACGCACTACAAACCATTAGTACTCACACCTAACACATTCAGAACACATACACCAATCTCAAACATACACTAATCACAGGCACATACCTAACGCATTCAATACACATTAATTGATCACAGGCATAACCTTTGGATACACATGCTTCTGTCACACACACACACCTATCACCTCACTTGCATATGTGAGTCGTAAGGGCAAGAGTATGATTATGGCTGCAGGTAGGTCATGAAATTGTGGATTCTAGTATTTTCATGGGGGGGTGGGGTTGTTTTTTAATAGCCGTGACTTCTGACATTTGAGGATTTTTGTACAGAGTAGGGTGGATCTGACTGTTAATAACTGAAGGTGAGAACGTTTTAAAAATGGCTTTCAGGAGAGGCTGAGAGAGCATCATCTTTCTTTGTTTCAGCTAGTGGTTTGTCAATTGGTCATAGGGATGGAAGGGCACAGAATGTGTGGTTTCTCTGTTTTTCTTTGGGTGTGGGGAAAGTCCTTGAGCTAACATAGCTGGTTTAAGAGGTGACTGTACAATGCTGCTTTTTTCAAAGGCCGAGTTCAGGACGGGGATAGAATCATAGACTTTAAGGTCAGAAGGGACCATTATGATCATCTAGTCTGACCTTCTGCACAACACAGGCCACAGAATCTCACCCACCAACTCCTGTAACAAACCCCTAACGTATGTCTGAGCTACTGAAGTTCTCAAATCGTGGTTTAAAGACTTCAAGATGCAGAAAATCCTCCAGCAAGCGACCTGTGCCCCATGCTGCAGAGGAAGGCGAAAAACCCCCAGGGCCGCTGCCAATCTGCCCTGGGGGAAGATTCCTTCCCGACCCCAAATATGGCGATCAGCTAAACCCGGAGCATGTGGGCAAGACTCACCAGCTAGACACCAGGAAAGAATTCTCTGTAGTAACTCAGATCCCACCCCATCTAACATCCCATCCCATCACAGGCCATTGGGCATATCTATCGCTAATACTTGAAGATCAATTAATTGCCAAAATTAGGCTATCCTATGTTGAAGAGTGACATTCCTCTGCCTTTCTCACCAGTGCACACCCCACCCCCATTATACACCAGTCACAAACATGCATACACCAGTGGCACCCAGTCATGCACTTCCCTGTGACTGCCACATGAACTAACACAAACAGCACACCCACTTATCACACTGACTTACACACTACCAGAAGTATCAATCTTGTGCACACAAATCACACACAGAGACACCAGTCAGATATGTCCTGACTATACTCCTATGACTAATGCAGCCATGCCACGCTGAGCCTTACGTATGCGCTATGCACCTGCCACCTACTTGTACAACACTTACCCGCACACCAACACCTGACATACATCAACTAATCATATGCCCAGATGTTTACAACAACCAATCGCACATGTACCACTCCTCCATATCCACCTGCATGCACTGATCTCTCTGAGCCCCAACATCACTGCACAGGTTGAATTCAGTTTGGATGGCAGCCTCCCATCCTGAGGCCTGTCCATTGTTTTCCTAGGTATGAAACATCGGCATTGTTGTTGGACGCTTGTTTTTCCATTTTCCTGAATGGAAGACCCTCTTCTAGGGCCTTTGTTTTGCTTGTTTAGAGCTGATGTAATGAATGTAATGGGTGCGCTGTTCTCTTTGTAGAAACGAATGTTAATTATTTTCAGCAGACGAATTACACTGCTAATGAGAAGCTGTACTGCAGTGATAATCCCTTTAATTACTTGTTCTTAAGTGCTGTACCGAGCCACTTTTGAACATGCTATTAAATGCAAATGCCTGTGTGTCAGGGTTCCCTCCCTACTCTGAACTCTGGGGTACAGATGTGGGGACCCGCATGAAAGACACCCCGTAAGCTTATTTCTATCAGCTTAGGTTAAAAACTTCCCCAAGGCACAAATCCTTCCTTGTTCTTGGATGGGTACTGCTGCCACCACCAAGTGAGTTAGACAAAGATTCAGGAAAAGGACCACTTGGAGTTCCTGTTTCCCTAAAACATCCCCCCAAGCCCCTTCACTCCCTTTCCTGGGGAGGCTTGAGAATAATATACCCACCAAATAGCTTA